ATAATAAAATCTTGAGTTGAGGTTTATTCTCCTATAAATATGGGTTGAATGTTTAAAATTATATTGAGATAGTAATTTTTAGTGTTTCAGGCTTACTATGGGCCTCGAGGGCTTTAAGCTTACCTGGGCCCTAGTGCCGGTTCGGCCCATGGAATCGGGTCATGACATTATAGATATATATAGATAGTCATATAGATCTAGATAAGAAAAAAAATTCAAAAATTTTAAAATTTTAAACTCAAAAATTGAAAAGGTTTAAAGTTTTAAAATTCAATAATTTTAGATTAATTATTATTATTATAAAAGCATCTAAAAGAATCATCCAATTAAAAATTCCAAAAAATACGGTAGAAATTCAAAAATTTATAAAAGAAATATGAATACTTGATGGAAAGAGTGCAAGTCAGATTCTTATATATATATATTTTTTTGCTTGAGAATTATATATATATATATATTTAATTTTATATATATTTATATATATATATATATATAATTTGAGCAAAAAAAAAAAAAAGTAGGATAGATTATAAATTTGAAGAAAAAAAAAAAGATAGATAGATTATTAAATTAAACCATTATACTTAATTTAATATTAAACATTTATCCTTGAATAATTTGAAAAATTCTCCGCTTAAAAGTTCTGATAATATGATTATAGGTTTAAGCCTAACTTTGTGAACTCGGGTTTAAAATAAAACTATTCGGCGCTTGAAGCCCGTCAGATTGAAGATCTGGATTTTGATTTCATAAAAATTTAAAAATTTTGAAAATAAAAATATGGTATGTTTCACCTACTTTTTTAGAACATTATTGAAAACTAAAACTAATCCCAAAGGAATTCCTAAAAAAGAAAAAAACTAAACCAAAAGTAAAAAAGATATATATTTATAGAGATTTCATCTAAATATATTCAAGAAGAGAAAGAAAAATATTGAATTTCACATAATTTTCAAATAAACTATTAAGTCAATTAAATGTTTATTGATATTATTATATAAGTTTTTTATCTTTATTGCCATAATTATAATTATTTGTAAAGTATTAGAAAAGAGAAAAAATATCAAATATTTTTCTATAATAAAAAAAAGGAAATATTAGGGTTTTTTTGTGGACAATTATTTACAAGCTAGTTGTTTTATTACGTTAGTTTTGCTCTAAGGTTGCTTTTTTATTGTACATCTAAAGATTATTAAAGATAGGCCTAATGGCTAAAAAACAAAACCTGAACATCCTTTCATGCATTATGTTAGATATCAAGAAAATCCATTCTGGCTTCAAAAGGATGGGCCTCTTCTCATGAAAAAAAGGAAATATTATCTTGTCAATTTAATTTTGGCATATTTTAATTGCTAGAATTGATATCGCGAAGTAATTTTTTCTTAACAATTGTGGCCTTCAGCCATTTACCGTTACTACTATGCTGATGTAGCCGTTACTGGAACCCTCGCCCATGATATATCACTTGCTGACTGTAAAATTACAAAGTATAATTGTTAAAAGAATTGGGCAAAATTATTAAAAAGGCAAAAGTTCATATTTTTTTAGTCAATTTTAGGGAAAAAAAAGAGATTTTTTTTTAGTTATTCAAAATTGTCAACACTCATGTTATAATAATTAAATATTAAAGAAGATCTAAAAATTTAATAAAATTATCAACATAGTAAGAGAGGGAAAATCAAGTGCTGTATAATTAATTAATCGTAAATCCGCTTTAATTCAAAAAGTGATAGTACTATTTGTAAGAACCTCTTCAACAACATTATCGCGTTACTTAAATTTGTTCTTTTCTTTTGAAGGATCAAATACCTTTACACTAATCTTTCTTGAGAAATTTATATATGAATGTAAATTTTTATCATTCTTCATTATTGAAATTTATTATATTTTAATTGTAAAGTTCAGCACCTTTCGAATTTTGAAGTTATAATCTCCTTTTGAAATTTTTTTCTTCATTTAGTTTGTGTCAAATAATTATTATTTTTAATTAATTCTTATTAAAATGAAATAGCTTTTTTTAACCATACTATTGATTGTTTGTCGTTAATTACTATAATATATCATTTAAAATAAAAAATTTTATAATTAAAATTTGAAAAATATTTAACCATTTTTATTAGATTAAATTTGAATATTACAAGTTACAAAATTATTTATTGATAAATGAATTATATAAATATTAGAAATTAATTTTAATAAAAAAAATCTAAATTTATTGTCAAGTTGTATATACACTTACTACTAGGCTATCCTTGGTATGTATGTAATAATCTTGATTATAATTCGTAAACTAACAAACTTTGGCCTAATGACTAAAAAAAATTTTGAACTTTAGTCTTTTTTAATAATTTTGTCCAATTCTTTTAACAATTATACTTTGCAAAGTTACAATTAGCAACTAACATGTCATGGCGAGGGTCCTACCTATGGCCACATAAGCATAATAGTAACGGTTGATGGACAGAGACCACAAATATTAAGAGAAAATTATTTTGCGGTATCAATTGTAGCAATTAAAAGAATTGGCTAAAATTGTTAAAAAGGATAAAGTTCAGTTTAATTAAAATTATGTATTCAGCTAGATATTTCAGTTATCAAACTATATGCAATTCCAAAAACATGATGCGGTAAATTATTTTTTTCATTGTAATAATAATAATAATAATAATAATAATAATGATAAGAAAGAGAAGAAGCATTTACTTATGGGTGAATTGATGAGAAAGAAGTGAAACTCCAACAACATAGAATATAAGAAAGAGACCAAAGTTGATGGATTTCATCTCGTGGGCTTTAAGTGTCAAATGATTTTATTTAAAGCCTGAGTTCACAAAGTGGACTTAAGCCCATAGTTATATTGTTAAATTATCAAATGGATATCATATTAAATTAAACTATTTTATACTTATGAGTTGAGATTTGAACCGAACTTGTGCAGACGAGTTTCGGTCATGTAACTATGGTTTCTATCAGCAAATCCAAAGCTGAAATTCAACAAGTTCTATATCATGTCTTCTCTTGCAAATCTGAAACTGTATTATCCCTCCTAATTTTTTTTTTTTTTCGTTTTTATGTCCTAATCTCTTGTTGGGATCGTGTCCCACCACGACGCCTAGATGAGAGAAAGAATAGAAGATAATAGAGTGGGAGAGAGAACGAAGAGATAGGATTTCACTTTCAATTTAAAAAAAAAAAAAGAAAAAAAAAATCCTAGGATATAGTGTAATTTACCCGAGAGCATAGGTAATAATGGATAATGGGTTGCAAAGATTTGATAAAGGCTTTAGCGTGTCAAGATGAGGATGAACTGTACAACTTTCTGGAACAGGTCAAGATGACATGAAATTTTTTTTTTTTTTTTTTTTTTTTTTTTTTTTTTTTTTTTTTTATTTTTTTTTTTTTTGATGAATGACAGATAAGTTTCTTGTGGACGTTAAGTAAAAATGAAATATATTATAATTGTTGATTGAATTTAAATTAAGTAATTCTTTTTTTTTTTTTTTTTTTTTTTTTTTTTGATGAATGACAGATAAGTTCTTGTGGAGTTAAGTAAAATAAATATATATATATTGTTGATTGAATTTAAATTAAGTAATTCTTCTTTTACATGATGTTGAAGGGAATAATGAAACAAACATATCCCTATGGTAAACTGAAGTTGGAAGAAGGGTTCTAAGAGTTCAAGTAATCCCTCCCAACTACGTTGGAGATTACGAGTTTTTATAGCACCAAGTAGTTGTAGTCTCGGGAATATTCATCACTTGAGCAAATCATTCAAATCGACTAGTAGTATTTAGGCGTGTAGAGTAAAGGCGGTTACTGAAGTTGATGTAATATGATCAGGAAGTAAGCTAGTGCCGCATGGGTATGGCAAGATTTAGAATACTTAAGTAATATAATGAGGAGTTTGAGCAAATATTGCTGCCCCAATCTATATAATATGAAATCGGGTAATATTATAAATTGTGTTTAAATATATATATATATATATAATCCTAACCTTAGAAACTTTGATTGAACTTTGATTGTCCGCTTCTAAGTGCTTGGTACGGATAGATATGAAATGCTCAAGTTATGAGTACGAAAGTTAACGGAAAATTCTTCCAACTATTAAGTCATAACGTCTTATTCCTCTTGGTTTGAATCATTTATCTAGGTTCTAAGAAAAATTAAAAGCTTTTACCTCAGATCCCATCTTTATTTTATTGTATGATTTAGTGTTTTAATAGGTGTATGTTAAATATTTTGGGATGAAAGTTAAGGGTAAAACTATATACATCATCTTAGAAAGTTGTTTGTATGAAAGGTGTGAAATTACAGGAAGCATTGTGAATTGAAAACAATTGCAGGAAACCATTCTAGAAGGATGGAATTAAGCTATGCTAGTCCCTGAAATAAATCAAAAAATTTTCTGCAAAAGAAATATATGATGGATGGTGGTCAAGTACAACGGCAATGCCTCACCTCCTCTCCTTATAAGTTGTGGTTTGCTCTTGCGTTATCTCTTTGTTTTTGAGTGTTTCTTGTGATTGTGAGATCACTTTATGTCTATTCTTACCCTCGTTACTAAATTCCAATTCGAGGATAAATTGTCTTAAAGGGGAGATTGAAATATCAAGTAATTTTATTTTTAAAACTCTCGGATTTTAATTAAATTGAAAATGCATATTTTCGATCTCGTGGGCTTTAAGTGTTGAATGATTTTATTTAAAGCCTGAGTTCACAAAATGCACTTAAGCCCATAGTTATATTGTTAAAACCTCAAGGCTAAGAGCTTGTTAAACTATACTACAATAAACAATAAACATTCAAATTTGTTATTAAAAATATTACTAATATTTAATTTATTCATTCCAACTCAAATTGTTATTTGAACAATAAAATCTTTTAGTGAAATCTTACAATTCAAGGATGGAAGTCTCTAGAATGTGTTAAAACAAAAGAGAACTTGAACAATTGAAAATCAAGAGAAAACCAATTGATTCCTTATTGAGCCAAACAAAATTAGAATTGGACCAAATCGATAGTATAAAAGTCAAGTAGGAGAGAGAAAATAAAAAATTCTCTCCTCCTCCCTCGTCAATGCCGACAGTCCCTCCTTTTTTTTCCTCACTATTTTCCGGCCACCGTCCACCGGCCACGGAATCCGGCAAACAAGCAACCTATCTTGATCCTCTCATCAAAGCGAACTTCTCTGTGGCTTTGGTTCGCGTGATAAGGGCCTGAATCAAGAGAGATCGTGATTGGAAGGTTGCGTCACCTTGCGATGGAGTTTTCCGACGGAATCTCGTCGTTTCGTGGACTTCAAGTGCTGGGGATGGTCTCAATCGACACATAGTCGCCTCCTGAACGATTTTCCTCCATTTATTCCGATGATGGAGGAGGACCGACGAAACCACCATGAGCCATGGAGATGCAGGGGCTGTCGGGGCTCCTTCCGGCCAAATGGCCACAAACTCAACAAACCGACCCTGGGGACGAGTTCCCCGTGAAATTTCGAGCGCGGGGCTGTGGTTGTTCCCAAACACGGCGAGGTTCGATTTTCCGGCCACCATGCACGGCGATTGGCGGAGGCGGTCCCTGACCGGCCGGTGAGTCAGAAGAGGCAGTAGCATCTTCTCAGTTTGCTGATTATCATGACATTTTTACTTTTCATATTGGTAAGCTCCAAAGTCTTGAAGTTGGTTTTTGACTATTGAAATTTAATAGTTTAGTTATCAAATACACCTTAAATTGAAATAGTACATAGATGATAATGGTTTGGCAGAATGTCTCGACAATAATTATAATTATAAACTAATTTGAATATTTCTAGCATTAGTTAGTCTCATAGGTTCCTTATGTTTAAATAAATTTATAAAAGTTAATTTAAACTCAAATTTAGCTTAGTTTAATGTAACCAAATTAAATGATACGGACTTCCATGATGTCTAGTTGAACTCCATAATTTACTAATTTAATGGTCTATTATTCATTGACTCGGATGTTAATATCGAATAACTCAAGAAAGGAATTACTTTCAAAAACTGTATGGTTATAAGCTTGACTTTGGATGTTATTACAACAAGTAGTATAATAATTGGAAGGTGTATGGGTTATAAGCTTGACTTTGGATGTTATTACAACAAGTAGTGTGATAATTGGAAGGTGTATGGGTTATAAGCTTGACTTTGGATGTTATTACAACGAGTAGTATGATAATTGGAAGGAGTGATTATGAAATTCTGTGAATGAGTTCCTATATATAAATATGATTATTATTATTATTATTATTATTATTATTATTATTATTTATGAGGGTATTGAAAGCTTAATTAATACTGATATTGATGTTGATGTCGATATCGAAGATTGTTGGGATGATGTATTGTTGGTAAATGGAGGATGGGAACTATATAGTTGATTCGCCCGAAGAATAGGCTGTTTGAACTGAATGAATAGAAATATTGAATAATTGATAATGTTAGAATAAGTAGATTATCCAAATTATAAAGGAGATGCTGCTGAATTTTCGGCAAAACAGCTATCAGAATCTAGAGCTAATTAAGTAAATAAATGACACTAAATATCATTGTTATGTTTATGTTGATGTTGATATCGAAGATTGTTGGGATGATGTATTGTTGGTAAATGGAGGATGGGAACTATATAGTTGATTCGCCCGAAGAATGAGCTGTGTGAACTGAATGAATAGAAATATTGAATAATTGATCATGTTAGAACAAGTAGATTATCCAAATTATAAAGGAGCTGTTGAATTTTCAGCAAAACAGCTATAAGAATCCAGAGCTAATTAAGTAAATAAATGACACTAAATATCATTATTATGTTTATTATTATTAATGCTATTGTTAGGTGTCGATATTGATCTAGAATCATAATACTAAGTTAAAATAAACTAAGAAATAAGAACAATAAACGTAAGTTAGAATTTGTGAGTAATAAGAGAATAATATATCTTAAGAAATAAAGAACAATAAACGTTAAGTTAGAAAAATTTTGTGAGTAATAGAGAATAATATATATATTATAATCTATTATTATATATATATATATATATATTAGGATTTAACCTTATTTATATCCCATTTTAAATGTTCTTAGGGGCTTTTAAAAAGTTTCTCGACATTTTGAATAGAGGAATCGAGAAGGTTGAGAAAACGACCTCTCTGCTATAAGCAATGTTTTTTGAATGAACAGTGAGTAGTGTTAGATATAATTCATTATCAGTCCACTATATATTAGGATTTAACCTTATTTATATCTTTTTATATATGTTCTTAGGGGCTTAAAAAGTTTCTCGACATTTGATAGAGGATCGAGAAGTTGAGAAACGATTTGCTATAAGCAAATGAACAGTGAGTAGTGTTAGATAATTCATATCATCCACTTGCATTTTACATTTATGCATACACAACTAAATGATAGACATGCATTACTTGGTAAATTGCTAATTGTGCTGCATTATTTGTTGCTATCGAATATTGCTTGATTAGTTGTGATGTGCTACATGTATGCCTTGCTTGTGTGGAATTTGAATGAGGTGGGTCACCATTGGGTTTGTGAGGGCGGTCTATGATACCATCGGCCATGTATGGGGAGATCGGTGCCTCCGTGTACATTTGATGAATTATGATATGGAAAACCACAGAGTGGCCTCCTGTCGGTGTGGAAAAGAAAAGAGAGAATAAAAAAAAATGAAAGGGCTGGTCAAGTGAGGTTGAGACTGATTGGCCATGTATGGGGGATCAGCTCCTTAGTGCACACGTGGTGAGAGGGCGGGCCATGTGTGAGGACGGCTCGTCAGGGGGTTTTGGTGACACCACTGACCAATTTTCACGTGATATGATTATGTGAAAGTGTTAATATTTGTGATTGCTGTTGTTATGTCATTTGTGTGATCGTTTGCATGATCATATAACTAGTCGGATAACTAGATTTATTTACGCATTTGTGTGATTATGTGAGGTGAAAGGGTTAACTAACCTACCACTGAATATAGGCGCTCATCCCTGCCTTAATATTTTTCCAGGTTACAAGTTTTCTAGTATCTCGTGATTTTTTGCCTCTTGACATCTGGAGGAAATGTTGAAAACAAAACCTTGATTATTTTTGTATAGTGTATTGAAGTAAAACTTTAGATTCTTAGACTGTTCCGCAATTACGATAATCGTGTATAATAAATTTTGAAATTAATGATGTATTACTTATTGAAGTTTCTATTATATAATATATTGATATGAGCCTAGAGAACTTTGGAAATTGATTTATTATTGAGTATGATGATACGGGCCAAGCGAGCCCAAGACTTATGATATGTGAATGTTGATGATATTAGGTCTAAGGCCATTTCTATTGAGCAGGAAGTTTGTTTAGTATATTCTTGGGCTTACTATGGGCTTCAGTGGTTTTAAGCTTACCCAAGTCCTAGTGCCGGTCTGGCCTAAGGCAATGGGTCGTGACAAAGATGGTATCAGAGCAAAAGTTAGGGCCTTAGTAAGGGATTGCGAAACAATAGGTCTTTCATCTTGTCTAACACAATTTTCCTTCTGCTTCTAAGCTAGCATTAAGGACTTGTCTAACACAATTTTCCTTCTGCTTCTAAGCTAGCATTAAGGACTAGCAATTCAAAAATTTAAAAGAATTAAGATTCTGTAGTTGTCTGACCCTCCCCCGATGTGGGGATCGGCGGTAACCGACAAAGGAGAGGTACCTTGGATTGAATTCTATTTTGGTGCAGGTGGACGCATTGTGCACTAAAATGGTTGCAGATCCATAATTTCATAGAAACAAGGAAAATTAAGTGGTGCAACTTAAATGTAGTTATTAATGAATGATATTTTAAGATTCCCTCATAAAGCTTCGGGAACACAGGAGATATTGGAAGGAAGTGCAGTGGTTTGATCAACCAGTGCACTCTTTCCAATGAAGTCTGTGTCCTTAGCTTGATGGACATGGGGAAAAGGGATCGTTTAAGCAAAATCCTCCCATAAAATAAATAATATAAGTATTATTATTGTCATAGAAGAAAAGAACAAATATGTATATGAATAATAGGAATTTTCATAAACTACTGAATATATTTTGAGTATTATAATAAATAGTTCACCCTCTCTCACAATATCAAGTGCGTGTTGACATGTAATGGATCGGTTTAAGCAAAAATCCTCATCCATATGAAATACCAATAAATCAGAGTATAGCTATTTCTATATGTTTTTCAATTAGAAAGAAAAGAAACAAATATGATATATGAAATAATACCGAAACTTATTCATAAAAAACTACTGAATATAATTATTTGAGTAATTTATTTTAAGATTCCCTCATAAAGCTTCGGGAACACAGGAGATATTGGAAGGAAGTGCAGTGGTTTGATCAACCAGTGCACTCTTTCCAATGAAGTCTGTGTCCTTAGCTTGATGGACATGGGGAAAAGGGATCGTTTAAGCAAAATCCTCCCATAAAATAAATAATATAAGTATTATTATTGTCATAGAAGAAAAGAACAAATATGTATATGAATAATAGGAATTTTCATAAACTACTGAATATATTTTGAGTATTATAATAAATAGTTAGAATTAAGTATTTAGAATTCCTTATGATAATGCGAATCTTCAAAAAATAATCATAAAATAAAATAAAAATTTTTGGAATCAATGTAGGTTGTTGTTTTAAAGTATCTAGACCTTACCCTATGAACGTGAATCTAAAATTCCAAATCAGTTCCTTTTTAGCTCAAGTTCCTATAGTTGAATGTGCCCCAAACTTTAGTCTAATGGACATAATACTTTTAAATCATAAATTATTTGACTATTTGACATTTTTGTGATCTTGAATGATACTTAGTTTGATTTTTATTAAATTTATATGCATTTACAAATTTTAATGATTAATATTACTGCTGTAGTGTTTGGGTCAAATTCTTTTGGATTTGACTCTTGTGGTATACCCGATGCTTTAAAGTATGAATAGGAAAACTTTAGACTTCGTAAATCGACTTTTAATTTTCGTGATATAGCATTATATCCCAATTTCATTTTATTGTTTTAAAATCCAATCTACTTGATTTAAAAATATGCAATTTAAGCATTTAAAATCACGATTGTGTTTGTTTCTATTAAAAATTGGGAAAATTATTAGTACGTCCCTATATATATATATCGAAATACAACTGTTCTGTTCATACATTTTTGGAAATGCTTTTTAAAGTTGTGTTTTGATTCTGTCAGAACTTTTAGTCCTTCCGTCAAATTTTGGCTAATTTTTCTGTTTGTCAACTGATAAAGAAGGGTCAAAAGAGAGAATTTAAAATTAATCCAAAAACACCCCTTTTATTTTCTATTGTCTTCAGCGCCGTCATCTTCTCTCCTAGATCTAACCCAACCCAGAATATCATCACGCACTAGTAATGGAAGCTAGGATGGAGGTTTGCAAATTAAAAGCTTTAGCAAGAGAATTTCAAATGAAAATACATCAAATTTAAATGTTGGCTGTTACTGAAGTGGAGAGAAGGTAGTTGTCTGCTCAACAACTAGAGCACTTGAGATTGTCGTGAGCAAGCCTCCATGCTCAGTGCGCTTGAGATTGCGATGATCTTTACACGGTCATTTAGCCAAGCCCCTACACAACTGTATGGTGTGCCTAAGTCGATTCCTATGGCTTTCTTAGATTTGGCTGTGATATTGTTGAGAAACTTGAAATGTAAAGTAGTCAATTTTCGATCTGTGATTGAATATTTCATTGATTTTTTATTTTGATTTTGAACATTTTGTTGATATTTTATTTTGATTTTGAATATTTTGTTGATTTTTTTTTATTAAAGTTGTTGAGATGAAATTTAATGGTAGATTTGATAATGAAGACAATGGAAGAGATTGTTTGGTAGAAAATAAAAATTTGAGAGAGGTATAAGGATACTTTCGTCTTTTTATTGACTTAATGGCCAAACTGGTTAAAATTTAATGGAAGGACTAAAAGTTATAACGGAATCAAAACATAGGGACTTCAAAAAGCATTTCCAAAAAACACAGAGACTGATTAGTTGTATTTTGATATATACACGGACGTAGTAGTAGTTTTCCTTAAAAAATTTTAAGTTTTGATTGACAGTTGCTTTCTTGAGTACATGTTATATTGAAATAAATTTGGAATTGATGAACAATTTTAATATATTGAAAAATCCTTAAATTTATTATTATGACCATATCCTTACCTTCTTTTAACCACTTGATTTTAATAATATTATAGTTTAAAAATACTATTTTCGTTGTATTATGAGGACACGTCAAATATAGGAACTATTGAAGAGCTAAGGGACAAACCAAAAAAGAAAAACATGGACTTTGTAGGGAAGGTTTCTTTCTTTTGTTTTTTAGAATGTCAAATTTGCTTTTGGTTTATGAAGAATTGTATAATTCTAAAGTTTCAATTAAAAAAGAAAAACATGGACTTTGTAAGGGAAAGGTTTCCTTTCTTGTTTTTAGAAAATGTCAAATTTGCCCCTTTTTGGTTTAATGAAAGAATTGTAATAATTCTAAAAGTTTCAATATAGTTCCTACTTCAAAATAAATTAATTAAAATTTAACAAAAGATCAATTTTTCTTTCTTTTGTTGTTTAGAATGCGAAATTTGCTTTAGGTTTATGAACAATTATATAATTCTAAAGTTTCAATTAACTTTGTTTATATATTCTATTTTATTTGATCTATATATTTTATTAAAAGTCCTAAACCATAATATTCTATGGTATTCAGGTCTAATTTTTATGGTCACCTATATTTAAAGTGAGATTGATTATACATATTTTCATACGAGATAATATAATTATAGAGTATTTGATAATCTTATTTTTAATATTTATGCAAATCTGAATGGCATATTATGCTAAAATAAAAATGTTTCTGTTAGATTCTTTATTTGGTTTATAAGTTTCAAAAAATTTTGAGTATTAAAAGTTTCTTTTTAAAAAGGCTAATTTACTTGATTTATTTGTTAAAAAGGCTAATTCCGTCTTCCTTAGGCCTTTGGGCCTTGACATAGTGTAGAGCCGTTTTCTTAGACAAGAGTCTACAGCGGTGAGAACCTCCAATGGCGACTTCACTGGGGATAGAGAAGTTGATTTCGATTGGTTACTTTATTTAGTTTTCGGTTGACTTTAATTTTTAGGCATTGCATCACAATACTTGCACACAAGCACCTTTTAGTCCTTAAAATCCTATGATATGAGTTGGCAATAGGCACATTTAGTGCCATTCGACCTATTGATTCCCTAGTTGACCCATATCACCTATAAGCACGTACCTTTGGGTGTAAAAAGAATTGGACAATTCCGTTTGTATCTTTGGGTTAAATCACAAAACTCAGTGTGAGGATTTGACTCGATTCTTGCTTATGGAAATCTAATTATAAGCCGTCCAAGCCTATGTAATTGCCTTAGAAATTTTTCTTAGGTCTTCCAAATTGATGTTTTGCATTTTATGACTCATTGTTTTTCAATATATTTTCTCATCAGAGGTAGTCCATGGGCCTTACACCTTTTTTGGAGTTACAAGTGAAGAACTAAAAATTGGTCTTTTCTATTTTAAAATATTGGGCCATAAATTATTTGATCCATTTGAGAGCCTTAATTATATTTTTAGCTTTGTTGAAGAAGAAAGGGTTTGATGTCAATGGAGTTATGATTTTCTCAGTTGATGCTTCTTCCTCCAATAATTACTATTATGAGAGGAAATCTCAAGCTTTTGTGCTTAATTCTACAAAAATGTGATGCCTACAATTAGGCATGGCAAGAGTTCCGGAACCGCCGGTTTCGGTTCCAAATTTTTTGGAACCGGAATCGAAATAAAAATTTTTGGTTCTGGTTCTTTGATGGTTCCAAAACCGATACTTCCGGTCGATTTTTCGGCGAATCGCATAATTTTAAATTTTAAATTTTCAAGACCGGTTTTCAAAATTTAAAATTTAAAAATTTGTGAAATAATTTCTAAACATAATTTTAAATTTTAAATTTTCAAGACCGGTTTTCAAAATTTAAAATTTAAAAATTTGTGAAATAATTTCTAAAAAAAAATACACTTGAACTTAAAAAATGCTTGAATTAAATTTATTTTTTTTGAAAAGACTTTACTTAATTTATTTTTTTTTTTTAAATCTTCAACTAAATTTATTTTTTGTTTAAAAAAGTAGGAACTTAATTTTTTTTTTTTTTAAAAGGGCTTGAACTTGGTTTTTTTTTTTAAAAAAAATAAAGTTCTCTA